ACCTCAACAAAAAAAAAAAAGAAAAGAAAAAGAAAAAGAAAAAAGAAAATCAAACCAAAGATCTCCAAAAGCAATCATTACACCAATCTGCAGCTACTAAAAAACCCTTCTCCGAATCCCAACTGTCAATTTTATTCAAGAAACTCACTCCCAAGATTTGCTTTTTTATTCAAAAATAATCTGCAAATTTGCAAAATAACATATTCAATTAAGCTAAGCACTCGCCTTCAGCCTATAATCAAGATCCATTGAAGCCTAATTTATCTAAAAATCCCACCTTTAAACTCTAATCAAGATCCCTTTAAGCCTAATTTACCAAAAGATCTCACCTTTAACCTCTAATCAAGATCAATTGAAGCCAAATTTACCTAAAGATCTCACCTTTAACCTCTAATCAAGATCCATTGAAGCATAATTTACCAAAAAATCTCACTTTTAACCTCTAATCAAGATCAATTGAAGCCAAATTTACCTAAAGATCTCACCTTTAACCTCTAATCATGATCCATTGAAGCCATACTTAGCTAAATCTCTAACCTTTAACCTCTAATCAAGACCCATTCAAGCCATATTAAGCTAAATCTCTCACATTTAACCTCTAAATCAAGACCCATTGGAGCCATATTTAACCGCTAATTAATCAAGATCCATTGAAGCCATATTAAGCTAAAGGTCTCACCTTTAACCTCTAATCAAGATCTAATGAAGCCATATTAATCTAAAGATCTCACCTTTAACCTCTACTCAAGACTCAAGATCCATTTGGAGCTATATATGATTGGGGGGAATGAAGCCTGGTCCGAGGATATTAGCAAGATTAGATAGATCTACACAAAATATTATTAAAAAAAAATAGAGATTTTAATTAGATCGAGCTAAATTAGACCTCGAGCCAGACAACATTCCCCTCAAATATAAAGCTCCCACATTTTCTCATCAAAATCAGCCAAACCCCATAACTAATCATCTTTTTCTCTAGCATAAAACTCAATATATATACACATATATGTGAGTGCCTGTGTTTCTCCCAAAACTCTCGCCTTCTTTCAAGGGGGAGAGAGATATAGAGAGATGAGGGAGAGAGAGGAGAGAGAACTAGTCAATAGTGTGGTTTGTGTAAGAGTGTCTTACAAGCAGAGCTAAAAGGGTTGAATGTGAATGCAAAATGACAAAAAAACCACAGACCCTACCAGCTGGAGTTCCAGAAATGACCACCATTATATGCACTCTATTTTACTCTCGCATTAAATTGTTTGTGTACATTCAAGAGCATACAGTCTCATCTTTTTAGGTAAATTTGGAGTCAATGTAAAAAGTTGTTATCAGTTAGTGTAACTGTAATTTCATACACAAATGCACTAGTAAGTCTTCTATTAAACTGCCTATCATGCATATATATATATATATCGGTAAGTCATTTTTTAGGCTGCTTAATTTTTAAATAATCAGACGCTTCCAACAAATATACATGTTTGGTCATATAATATAAATATAGAGACGGCATTTAATATAATAACTATGTATTATAAGTTATAACTATGCATTATTTGTAATAAAGTATGCTTGCCTAACGGTTATAATCAGTCTAACAACAGAATTTACGAATGCATATACATTTATCATAAAATATCACATTGTTCACGATAAACCTTTCAAAGACCAAAGATAATAAATTAGGGTAAATGAAAATAATTATTATTTCTATTTACTAAATGAAAGATTGTACCATCAACTTCTAGTTGTGACTTGTGATGAGAGTGTATTCATGATAATCTATAGCAAGGCACAATATATAGGGTTGTTGTTGGGAAACATATGTAAATAAACATACTTTAAATTAAATTAAAGCATAAACAAAAATATTACTACAAAATTCACATTACGATAAATAAAATTACGGTAGACCGGCTCGTTTAACTATAGAACATTTCGCCTCAGAATTTGAGAATAGGGCAAGAACGACATGAAGAAAACCAACAAGCTAAGCTACCATTAGTATGTGATGCTAATTGTTAGTGTTAGGGCACGGAAAAAATGTTGTGACGAGACTGCACATTGACAGCTAACGTGTTTTAACGTTATAACATTTATGATTCAATTCATGAGTGAGTAATGATTTCTTATTTATTTTATTTTTTTAAGAGAAATATAGTAATGATCACATAATAATTCACGAGCAAAAGAACAAATGAGTCAGTGGAGTAGTTGAGTTGCATTAATCAACGAGCGATTCCCTTTTTTTTTGTTGATGTTTTTAGTTCAGTGTTGTTTTCTGGTCAAATAAAAGGCTTTTAAATCGGTTGTTGGGAGTGAAGAGGACCCTCGTTTGCCGCGTTCCTTTTGCGAAATCAAGGCCACTAGCTGGTGCTATTTATTTGTAAGCGAAATTTAGGGGGAGATTGACTAAATAATTTGTCTTACAATTTTTAACTTAAAATTTAATTTAATTTTAATATAATCTCAACTTTTCTCAATATTATCACTTTAATTAAATTATGCCAATCATCCTCACCATCGTTATAATTTTAATTTATTGTTCGTCTACTCATATATTTTTATAAATATATATCATATCCAATAAATATTATTTAACTGAAAACACAAAATCTCACTCAATTCTTCACTCAATCAACGCTATTTAAGATAACTCATTTTAACCTATCAGATCCAATCAAAATTGATTTTGTTTAATGGCTTCTTTAATAATTCAGAGCATCTACAATGATGTGAGTTTAATTTTGACTAATTCTCAATATAATAGACTTGAGCCTTGAATGATGTAGAGAAATAATAGAAAAAATAGACTATATCTACTCTAATGCAATTTTTTTAAACTTGGTTTAAAGTGATGTGGAACAAAATAATTATGTGTTGTTTAGTGAAATGTAGATA